GTGTTCTTGTACATCTTGTTCTTTATGTTCACATAGATGTCGTTTCAGTGTGTAAAGCAGTTCAGTACATCAGGCCCCGCTGCTTATATCTTGCCATATGATCAGCTGCCAGCTGTTAGATCTCCTGCATGACACGAGAAAGCGCACAGCTGATCCAGTTGTTTTTCACAGGCCACTGATGATGTTTCTAAAGAAGCAACCCTTGTAGCAGCCAGCAGAGCACGGGGCATGATCCTCGCCTCCCTGGTCACCGAGGCTGCGTGCTTACAACACTGCCAAAAGGATCTTTGTTTCTGCATGGTAGAGCAGGTGGTAGAGGAACTATGGGTTGCTACAGCCTAACTGGTATCCAGGCGGAGAATGTGGTTTCCTTCAGCTGCAAATGGTGCTCAAGATGTGTTGACATTGTGGATTTCTCAAAGGAAAGGAGATAAATAGAAAAATATAGGCCACTTCAGGAACTTGGGGAAGTATGCACCATCCTCTGCACTTTTCCTCTGACACCAAAGCTCTAAACCCTGGGTCAGAAGGCTGGTAAGAGCTAGTATTCTTGGTGCCTACATTGGGACAAGAGTGTAAGAATAATCTTCAGCCTAAAAACAATTTGTGCCTGCTTAGAATTCATCATCATAATGTTGGATGTTGGATATTGGTTATAGACTACATATTACATTTTAGCTTGTAGGCATCACAGCAGTATATTAAACACCATTTATATGGTTCCGACAGAGAACCTCAGACGTCAGTGAATTAGTGTACTCATTCAACATCCCTGTTGTCTAGATCCATAAATCACCATGACTGCAGGTAGCCTAGCAATGAGGCAGACTAAGGTCATAAAATACTACGAACTGAGGTAAAGCTTTTGAAAACAAGTTGAAAACCAAGAAAATTCTCTCCTCAACACATCCACTCAATGTCTTTTTAAACACAAATATGGAGTGACTTTTATCAGTCTTGACGGAGTTGGGAGAATGGCTCTATCTGTCGGATGCCACTAGGGAGAACAAGCCTTTCATACTTGTACATCAAGTTTTCCTCACGCTACAGAAAAGGAATTAGGGTTCTGCCTTATGGGCTATTTGTGGCTCCAGCATGCTTTACTTACTTTGACAGTGACGAGGACAGAACATGACTACAGCTGTGTTCATATTATCTAAAAATAATGTCCCAAACTGTCAACTGGATAATGCGCACGCCACTTTGTACAGTTTAAATCCAGGTATATGTTGTGTCGTCACATACTGTATCTGTATTGTGTCAGTTCACTGCAAACTATGACAAATACGTAGCAGATAAAAAATAAGTGGTACTGCAGCGCTCTGACCGTTTGCTGCATGAAGCGTGTAAAATCAATGGAAAGTGAGGGCACATGTGCTTTGTGCTCTTCAGTAAAGATTACATGCTCAGTGTGACTCCTGGCTTTCCAAAAGTATGGCGAATGCCATTGTCTTCCAGAAGTGTTGGCAAAGTCAAACTGTGTGAAAGTCAGAATTTGACCATTCAAACTGAAAACAAGATATACTGTATTGGAATAGTTGCAAGAAGCAAACTATGTTTGTCAGTTTCAATATAATTGTGATTTTTAGTGAGAATTTTAACGTTGCATGTTGTGAGTTGGGGAAAAACCTGACGTCTGACGCTTCCTGTGAAGGAGGTAAAAGTCAAAAGAAAACTCATTTTAGGTACCAACAAAGTCTAAAAGTTGAACTTGAACATGTCATTGTGAGTGACGTGCAGGCTTGTTTAGTGTTTAGCCATAGCATGTGATATTCTACATCTGATTCTGTTGGCTGTTATTATCAGCCACTGTCTTAGTATTGAGTAACAGGAGTATATCATGTACATTGATCATCAGTGAATATGACTAAATCTGACCAATATGAAAAGACGACAGTTTCTCGGTGTTCTGCACTATTGGACAAATATCATGATAATTATAATATAATAGTATTCATTACTTATAGAAACAGAAGAAGCCTTGTTACCGCAGCATCATATTATACTCATATGGGGCATTAGACTTCCATTAGGCTATGGAACACTTCAGTACACTGGGAAATGTATAGCTGGCCCAAATAATGTGTGATCATGCTGTGTATTGGTCTGTAAGTGGCCAAAGCCTATTGTGTATGTTACAGCTCTTTTAGAAAGGTACAATGCATGATACATATTCCATCAACAGATTATTCTTCTCCGCTTTCCCTCTGCTGTCTTCGCCTCCTCAGCTCTGTACTTTCAAACACCCCTCATTTGATGTTGGACGATGAGTTGGCTTCACACATGCATGAGGGGAGATCTCACAGGGCTTCGGTAGATCTCTAATTGAATTGTCAGAACAGCAAGAGATGCACATTTAAATTTTGAAAAGAGAGTGCAGCGGAAGACTGGCACCGGAAGAGCGTTTCATCTCCCGTGCCCGTCACACTGGGTCCCATGCAACATTGATTACCTGAAAAATGGATCAGTTAGAAAAGTCTGTTTGAAATACTGAAGAAAGAGTGCATCAAGCCAAAGCCTTTCCATATCTGCCCTCTGCAGTATTATCATGCAGTACGAGATATCATCTGGCAATACCCTGTTTAATTTTGTGTTGTCTTACAAGCCATCAGGGTCACAGAGGTGACTGCCTGAGGTACCAGGACCACCACCAGACTTCAGAACAAACAAGTAATGAAAAGGAAATGACCAACAATATTCCTGGGTGCCAGGTTTTGGAGCCAATTATGGATTGTTCACTGTCTAAACAATGCATATTTAATAGGTCTGACAAATTAGATTTCTGTGTTTCATTATACTCCACCACATTATTTTCCATTGGTAAACATGGGTAATTGGAGCTCATAGGCAATCATATCGGCCAATTTTTTGCGTATTATTGGTTCAAAATGGCCGTTTCTTAGCTTGCTGTGACGTCTGAAAGACTTGATGTTGTGGGAGATTGTGTAGCCTGCATTTAAGGTCATCTTCTTCCGCTTGCATGTCTAATATTTCCGAAGAGGTTATCAGCAACATTATAGCAGGTGAATTTCCCTATTTTTCTATTTTAGGACTGTTTCATTTCTGTAAGATATATGAAGATGACATGAAAGGTTTCCTTCCAAAAAGCAAAATAGGTTGTAGTTGGCACGAGTTACCTAAAGATTACTGCTTACCATTTGAGAAATACCTTTAGCACTAGTATTTCATGTGCACAATTACTGGTTTTCTAGTTTCTTGTCATTTAAAAAGATTTTTCAGTGGCGTGCCTTCCCCTCGTTGTACTGCTGTGCAGGCCGACTCAGAGCCCTGGATGTCTCTGAAGGCGAGAACATCATTTTTCTGCTGTATTGTGTCTGATGTTGTGGTGATTCCCTGTAGAAATGGGTAAGATGGATTATTAATGCATTTAGTTTGTGAAATATTAGTTAACTAAGTGTTAATTAAGTTAATTAAGAGATTTATTTTGGTTTGGTCAGAACAATGTGTTTACGTATTTTTTTTCTCTTGGTTCGTGTGATCACGAGAGGTTCATATTCTCTTGTGGTTGCTGTAATTTTTCAGTGTTTCCCAGGTCTGTGGAGTGAGGGTTGTGATTCTAGATCTGTTGTGGCCGAAATGTTTGGAGCAACCTTGGGGTATATGCCGGAATACATCAAAGATGTCGGACATAGTGTTGCCTTGGTTTTCTTTACCCAACAGCAAAAAAAATGTACTGCGACATGGTGAAATAGGCAAAAAAAAGTGAGAAAGAAAGGAGAAGTTTCAATTTAAGAGACTTCTTCAAAGCATTTGTCTCTTGAGCTGAGCTCTTTAGGGGTTTGGTTGTCTCCTCAGGAGCCGGGGGTTAGCCAGACTTTCATCAGGGCTAACTAAATATATTTTTCATGCTCTCAGGCTGTGGCAAGTATTTAAATTAATATATATTTAGTTACAGCGGTGCAATGGATAGATGTACATGTTGTGTGTGCATAGAGTACTCAAATCCACATTCAAAACCGCATTTTATGCCACACAACTTGCTTTAGGGCACAGGCAATTCCAAACACCCCCTGAAAATGTGCCCTACGTCTCATTGACTTTCAATAGGGAGGAAGAATTTTCTGGTCAAAAGAGGGTCGAGTGCCATTTATAAATGGATCATGAGTCAGAGGTTTCGGTCTCTGACAAACACTGAACCTTACCTAGTCTTGTTAGAATGAAGCTTTCCAGATGCTAATCAGATTTGTTAACATGAACAGCTGCCATCTTTCCATATCTTATTTCTTCGAAGAATTCTGTAGGTTCATAGTGGGTATCTAGTTATCCTTGGTTATGGGAAGATGTCTGTACTCCACCAGCCCCCTGAGAGTGATCTAGCCTTTGATCCATTGAGATTTTAGTCAAATGAATTTAGTGTATTGTGGTATGGCGCTAAAGCCTCTCATTAAAATCACATGTCAACGCGTCCCTTGTCATTCAACATAAATCCTGCTAACAATGAAGTTTGAATTGTATTCATAACGAGCTTCAACTTGCTTTAAATAGGCAGTGTCGTGCGTGAGCTCTTCCTGATGCTTTTGTTCACTGCATGCAGATCAGTGGAACAACACAATCAGATTAACAGTATAAGAAATGAGATTGATGAAAATGGGTTTGGCGTGTGATTAGTTCACTTTCAGTCCAGTCGGGTGAGAGTTAATTGGTAGAACAATAAAGACACGACCATACATTTTCAGTTCATTGTTTAGAGTGCCTGTTATGAATGTTGCTTTGACATGGACCCAAAATGGACTGATCTGACTTCATCATTTGTATGACTCACACTGAGTAAGTCTTTGTTCAGATGAGTCTGCAAATAAAGGGCAGAAAAATCAGTCAAATGAGAAAGTCTTTTCTTTAAAATGTACCATTATACCACTGTGAGTCATTGGAAAGAGATGCTGCCTTACTGTCATTGCTCACCCTGTGAAATGTATTTACTCATTGGTAAAATGCAGAGTCCGGTTAGATTCTGATGACTGTTTTATATGGATTATTAGGATTCCCATTAGCTGCTTGCATGGTTTACTCCCATTCCTCAAGTCCACCCAGGACACACAGAAAGAACAGAACATATTAATACTGGTGAGTTTATAAAGAAAATTTTTACAGAATAAAAGAAATGGAGAACAGGGAGCGTGTAAACACTGTTTGATATTTCCGGTTATGTATTTTTAATGCATTTTCAGTTTATAAAGACAATTCCACTCAAACACTTTAATTGTAGATGAGTGGGACTTCCCCTCATGCATATGATGCACTATAAATGTGATTTTACGCTATTACACTTTTATACATACAACAACCAAAGTTCATGTATTGTAACACATGAAACTTGTATGCCATTTGGATCACTGGGATTGAATATCATTCTCAGACATTTTAGAATGGTTGTTCAGAACAATACATTTAATGTGTCAAACTTTTCATGACTTGTAAAACAATTTACACTTAATGTTCTTTCTTTTCCCGTCCCACCCCTTCTGCCCATGCTTCTATCTTTTCTCCACAGATATCTCTGACCGAAATGCTGCCCTGTATCATTTTCATCGGCGTGTTTGTCACTGTGGCCCAATCCCAGGATATTCATCCCTCACAGGCATCATCCTCTATTAGTGAGTCGTGTGACTCCTTGTGCTCCTGCGAGGGGAAAGATGGCATCCTTCATCTTAACTGCGAGCAGAGAAACATCAGCAAAATCTCCCAAATCAAAGTCCCGTCAGGCGTGCCCTTCCACCTGAACCTTTACAAAAATGACTTAGTTGAGCTCCGCGCTGAGGAAATGGAAGGGCTTAAGAATGCCCTTTCGCTGCACATCGGGGGTAATAGCATACAAGAGCTGGAACCCGGGGTTTTTAGCACTCTCGGTTCACTGAAAAAACTCCACATAAATAGCAATTTCCTTGTCACTCTGAAAGAGGACACTTTTCAAGGCCTGGTGAATTTGGAGTTTCTCCAAGCTGACACAAATTTCATTCGGGTCATCGAGCCAGGGGCCTTCAACAAACTGATCCGCCTCAAGGTCCTCATCCTCAATGATAATTCCATCGAGTTTTTACCCAGCAACATTTTTCGGTTCGTGCCCCTCACCCACCTGGACTTGCGTGGCAACAAGCTCCAGACACTGCCTTATGTTGGGTTTTTGGAGCACATCGGACGGATAATGGAGCTTCTCCTGGAGGACAATGACTGGGTCTGTGACTGTGATATTTTGCATTTAAAAATCTGGATGGAGAACATGAGGGCCCAGTCAGCAATCGGAGATGTGGTTTGCAGCACACCACATCACCTTAAGGGGACTATTCTGGCTAAAGTCAAGCGGGATGTTCTCTGCCCGTCCCACGCAGATATTAACCTGGAGGAACCGTCAAAGTCCCTGGACATGGTTGTTACTCCCTCATCCAAAGTTTCTCAGAGTCCCAAGTTGATTAATGCCAAAGATGACGCCAAGGTACCGACACCGTCTCACATTCCCAGCAGTCCTTGTGTGGAGCACTGTTCTTGTCACAATCACCCTGTGGCTGGGTTTTTGATGCATTGTCAGGACAGGGGAATTCAGAAAGTATCAGATATCGGAATACTCCAGCAAAGCCCCACTAAATTGGTCATGACAGGAAATATGATTCAGAAACTCCTGAAGTATGATTTTGTCACATATGATAGTTTAGAATTGCTCAACTTGGCGAACAATAGAATTGATTACATTGATAATGAAACTTTCCTCAGCTTGAGCAGTTTGAAAAAATTATATTTGAATGGCAATAGAATTGAAAAGCTGTTCTCCACAATGTTTGTGGGGCTCCACAATCTTGAATACCTGTATCTGGAATACAACCTTATCAAAGAGATTGCTCCAGGCACATTTAATCCCCTGCCGAACCTGAAGCTGTTGTCATTAAATAACAACCTGCTCAGCTCTCTTCCGGCACAGATATTTCGCAATGTTCCCCTCACCAAATTAAACCTGAGGAAAAATCTACTTATGCACCTGCCAGTGAGCAACGTGCTTGATCAACTCGACTCACTAGAACAGATTTATTTAGAGGACAACCCCTGGGACTGCAGCTGTGACTTGCTAAGCCTCAAACAATGGGTGGAGAAACTAAGAAAGGACACAGTGGTGGGCTCCATTTTGTGTCACACCCCAAATAAAGTGATGCAGGCTGAACTAAGAAGCCTTCGTCATGAGGTGCTATGTCCCGGTTTAGGGACCTACTACCCTATGTCCCCAGATTGGGAGGAGAGCGTGACAGCTACACTGGGGCCTGACAGCACTGACAAGGGTTTGTTCAGCTCACTCACGGACACCGTCCCACTCTCTGTGCTCATCTTAAGCCTTCTTGTTTTTGTCCTCATGATTATCTTCTGCTCAGCTGGACTGGTCGTGTTTGTGGTGCACCGGCGGCGGCGAAGGGCAAAGAAAAAAGCAGCAGAGGAGCAGCCCCGGGAGAACACCAGCAGCAGTCCCATTCACTTACATTACAGCATGTACGGGCAGAAAACTACACACCACACTCTGACACAGAGAACAGGGTCTTCCTCTCTGTACGAAGAGAGATCACATAGTCCTATTGTGCAGATCTGTCGCAACCCCACCTACTGCTCCCAGCACAAGGAACACGACATGGATTTGGATTATAGCCTCGACGACCCCAGCGCCAAGCATCACGTCTGCCGGAGTCTCATGGAGAAGGAGAACACCTCTCCACTCACAGGAAACCCCAGCTCAAAGTTCAGACCCATGACTGGAGAGTGCCCCGCAGAGTTTGTCACTCTCGGAAATCCCAACTCCTTGTACAGGAACATTCTGGAGAGAGAGAAGGAGCTGCAGCAGCTTGGAATAACAGAGTACCTTAGGAAAAACATGCCACAGCTTCAGTCTGCTGTAGACATGCAGGTCCCGGGGCACCAGGAGGAGTTAAAGCTAATGGAGACAATAATGTACTCACGACCACGCAAGGTCATGCTTGAGCAAACTAAGAATGAGTACTTTGAACTTAAGGCTAACTTGCACACTGAGCCGGACTATTTGGAGGTTCTGGAGCATCAAACTGCATTTAACTGAGCTTCAACAGGAAAAAAAAACAAACAAAAAAATATATAAATATATATATTATCTCTTGAACCAAGTGCCTTGTCCTGTTGGCCCTCTTGTACTTTCCACAGTGTGAAATATATATATCATGGGCACATCACATCAAGTTTAACTGTAGCACAGAATGTAACTGGTTTATTTTTTTGTTACCTTTTGTTGACAGCCATGTCATGTAGCTGGTGAAATGTGTAGTATTTCTGGGCAAATGTAACTTAAAGAAGCTATTGCAGTCTGTTGAGCAGGCCTGGTTTGAAACCCTCTTTGAAATCCACTCAATGAGCTTTTTATGATTGATTAAATTTCCACGGCTCACTGCCACCAAATGAATTGATCCGCACAGCGCACACCCCCTTATTTGACATCCTGAAAGGATAAAGCAGATGTTTGGAAAGAAGTGAGTGAATTTCAATCACCACTTGACCCAGAATTGCGGTTTAATCAGTCTATCCTGACTCTGGGTATGACCTGATTACACCCTCTGTCAACATAAGCCAGCTAAAATGCTGTAACCAGAATGCTCATTGTGCCGTAGAGTCAGTAAAATGCCAACTGTACATTGGAAAACAGTGATAGGAGTGTGATCCCACTGCTATTCTCCTGTCAGTTCTTTTGTTCCATCCAATACGCTGCGCAGTTGCAGACATAGGACCTTTATTTATTTTTTATACAAACTGGTGATATTCACTGAAAGGTTGTTCCCCCCCCCACACACAATCAGTAAATACAGCACTTAAAGTACATTATATTATACACAGCTGTAATCTTGTAAAAATGCATTGCACTAATCAGATGCCATAAGATGGTGCATGACAATCAACAGAGTCCTGCTGAAACCTTTTTGTTTGTTTTTTAATTTCTTCCAGAAGAAATGAGCCACAAATGTGTATCATCCTTCAGTGTGTGTTTTGTATATGTGCGGACGAATGTGAGATTGTGTTTAATGTCACTAATTTATGTCTGACAACATTCAAACAGCATTCAGGAACATCGCTCCTTCCTCATTCTGACACTGGCTGATTTGGAACTGTTTTGAACTATTTAGAAGCGGGGCATATTAATCTATTAGCACATGAACGGTTAATGACGAGCAACATCACCCAACAGAGAAGCTCCATTTTCCCATGCACACAACCTGCCGAATGACTTCAGCTACATTTCCTCTGTTTCTCAGCTCTTATTAAAAGCAATGGACTGTTGGTCACTGACATTTGCAATGTGGACATTGTCAGGATTTATACTATACACTCCATTCATACTCTTGGAAACTCATTCAACTTTGAAACGGTTCATGTAAGCACACACTCAGTAGCTTTTCTACTTAACTAGATAATAATTATTTATTCTGTATATTTTGTATATACTTGTGTTCCATTATACCTTTGGTTTTTGTGTGCCTTCAGTGCTGTACAGAATATAAACAGAAGTTGTAACTGATAAACAGAAAATAAAGAGTTGCAATATTACATAAAGTTGGAACTGAATTCATGGTTAGCCATAGTACAATGTGCATCCCTATTGAGACAACGTCCATAATGTTACATTATTTAGATACTGTGCAAGAAAGCGGAACTTCTGTAGCCTCTCTGTGGGGCTGTCTGTTGGCTAATTGACTCATTGACCACCCTGAGCTGCATCTACACCCCAAAATAATGACATTTTCTCTTTAATGTGTTATCAGACCTCAACAGAGTATATGAATACAGTATGTGCATTCATGTAAGTGTGTAAATATGAATGGTTTCTTTTCCTGCTGTGTGAATAATTTACCCCCTCACGATGGCTCAAACCTAGTCCTTAATCACACAACAATGGCTGCAGGGTTTTTCACTAGCCGTGCTTTTCTGCATGGCATTCATTTTGTCTCTTTCTCTCTCTCGGGGGAAACAGTGGACCCTCTGTAATTCCTCCATTTCCTATCATAATTGATGTATCTGAAGCTCCTTTGCAAGAACACACGCGTAACCTCCCAGGTTGAAACAGACGTGCAGCACTCGCATACAAATACAGAGACCCTGCCAACATGAATAAATAAATGCTTGTAGATTTGTATGCAGACACGCATCATTTAAAGGTATGCAAACTCACAGAGGCAAACAGACCGGTAACCCCCCCCCCCCACCCACACACACACACACACATTATCCTCTGCTGCTTGATCCTGTGAGACTCATAAGCAATATGCTCCTCCAAAGGTGAGACATTAGCAAAGTGCATAACTGTGTTCAGAGAAATTCTTTACTTTAGGAGCTGACTTCAAATAAATGGATTCACTTTTGAAGTCAGGCTCACCAAGGTGGCCATCTTGCAGCAATACCACTGTTAAATACATTTAATAAGATAAACAACCAACCGCAGCTAAAAAGAAGAGATAATGAGGATACAAATTTAATCAGAAGACTGTTATGTTATGGCTCAGCACTGGTAAAATCTTCTTTATGGTTAAATTTAAGCAAGGATTTTGAAAATGAAATATGTACTTTTGTCAGGATCACCCCAGCCTGACGGGCGTGTCAAAAACGTTTTGTAGCTACCTTAAAACAGAAGACTTAGCCCAGGAATTATTTGATTATTTTTAAATAAAACAAACAGCACGTAAGAGAGAGTTTAAGGAGAAATGTATGCTAAACCATTTTTCAATTATATTAATATGAATAATTCATGTTTGTCTTCATTTTAGATGACTGTGTCACCACAGCACTGCATTTCATAAAGCTTCTTCTCCCTGGAAACTTTCTTGTGCACTCGAGAACAATAACATGATGGCAACCTCTCGCTAACATCAAGGTCCCCCACATTGAGTGGGTGATGTGATCAGGTCTTGATGCACTTTGCTGCATAAATTTGCACAATAATGAGGAAAAATGGTGGGATATTAGAGCCAAGTACCTCTTGTTTGGTATAGGCTAGCTCTAATGACTATGGATGTCCGTGTTTAGGGGCAGATTCTGCAAAGTAACACTGTAGTTCACACACAGATATACTGTAATCATGTGCAATGCAATTACTGTATGTGGGAGAGTGAGCAATGGTAGTAATTCTCATAATAAGCCTGAAAGTTCAAGGTAACCAATGGTGAGAGATATTTACATTTATTCATTTAGCTGACACTTTTATCCAAAGCGACTTACAATTGCTATACATGTCAGAGGTCGCACCTAAGGGTTAAGTGTTTTGCTCAGGGGACACAATGGTGGATGTCTCACTGTGGGAATTGAACCCAGGTCTCCCACACTAAAGGCAAGCATCTTATCAATGCACCATCACCACCCCAGGTATACACAAAAAATATTCTTCATGCTACACATACTGAACTCAACACACCAGTGACCAACTGTGACTATTTACATTTCATTCTGAGACTGCCTGTTTGTTTTGCACCACAGCCAGACACAGACCATATCTTGTGACGTGAAATGTAATTACATAGAGTCAACACTAAAGTGTTTTTTACACATGAGCACAAATAATGTGTCTGATACACCAGACAACACAGCATATTATTGCAAAAGTAGTATTTGTGTTGCCTCCATTAATACAGGCAAAGTGGACTTACTGGAGTGTCCACTGTCTCATTTGTACTGCAGATGATATATTTGCTTTATTAGCAAAATGCTTTCAAAGAGCGATCTGAAAAATCTATATCATCTCACCCAATTATCATTTTATAAAATGGTCTATCTGTTACATCCCTGAACCACAAGTCATTAATATTCATATCTGAGAGCACAACAACAGAACATCTCTTCTGGGCAGCACTATCGATCCCTCTGTTGCGTCCAATAGCTTCACCAGGTTCTCGGTAGTATGCTGCAGTCAATGAATGCCTCACACATTACATTATCCAGGCTGCAGGCTGTACGTCGTTCCTGCCTTTTAGATCCTCCTGACATTTAATGAACAGTGAGTGGCAGAAATACAGAACAATGGCGCCATTGGTTATAATTGCTGGAGGACAAAAAGGGTTTAGTACATGCAAGAGGTGAAAAGATGTAGGTTGAAACAAGCTGCTGTTCCTCAGAGGTGGAAAAGGTTTTCAGAAATCAGAAAGTTAAGCAAAAATACCTCATCTAAAACTATTTCCTTTGACGTAGTAACTGTTGGGGGTAGGTTAATCTATGACAATGCGTCATATTTTAGAAGATGATCATATATTTTTCATGTAAAATCCTATCCTGCAAGGAAATAAGTACCAGTTGGATCAATGTTGTTCAATAATTCCCTCTGAAATTTAGTGAAATAGTGAAAAATACTGGAAATGCTAGATAGGTCAACCGGCCCCAACCCGAAACTGGGTTATGTAAATATGAAGTGTTAGGAAATTAAAGGGGTACCCGAGTGATTCAGTATTGCACTTGTCTGAAGTTGAGGTACTTGCAAGACAGATTTAAAAAAGAAAAGAAGAATGGTCAAAATCATGTATCATAAACATATATTTTAGTTTATTTCTGCTGTAGTTGGTCATTTTAAAATGGGGGTTTTGGAGATTGACTTGCTTTTGGAGCCAAGTGGCCATTCGATGAAGTGCAGTTTCTGGCACTTACCAACTAGAACTGTATAAATGGATGTATTTAATATACGGAAAGCTATTTCTAATAGCTATTTCGGCCCAGTTTATATAGCATCAGTGAGGGTAGCTGCATTCCATTTTACATAACGTGATTAATTATGTTTGTTCAACTCATCATAGATAATAAAGCAGTATAATATAAATACAATAAATTGATGTAATGATAAAAAATATAAAGCAAAGAACATTTCATGTCCAGAATGTAGCACTTAATGTCAGGACGGATGGATTCATAGACTCATTATAATAAGCTTTGCAACACCCCTTGGTGATTTAGATGTTTTGAGTGAACAAATTAGAATTTTTAACATAATGTAAGGTTTTGTTTAACCAGTTGTTCTCAATTGGTTTCTGTTATCTAGCATGTTTCTTTTATCGCGTGCCCCTGGCACGAGTCAAGCAAAGTCAGCTAGCATGTATCCAACCCCTCTGCAGTGACACCACAAGCTGACTTGTGGAGCATTCGAATTCTCTCCATCACTTGAGTCCACCTGGTGGGGCATGATTTAGAATGAAATGCACATCCATCAATCCAACCATTAATTTTCTATGCCCACTTTTTACTATTCAGGGTCATGAGGGTGGCTGGAGCCTATCCCAGCATGCACTGGGGCAGACGTGCATGAAATGCACATGATCATGTAAAGTGATGTGGAAGATTGTGCATGTTAGAGCAAGATGTCTGTTAAGATTCTTCATCCAGTCATCCAGGTCATTGTTATCCAGTGTGGGTGAAAATCAAGGGCAACTGGACTTGGCTGAAGGTACCTGAAGACGTTTTGCCTTTCAGAACTGAAGGGGCCTCTTCCATGAGAGTCAAAACATCATCAAGTATCTTCAACAAAGTCTGGTTGCCTTTGATTTCCACCCACCTTGGACATGTTAGAGAAGAACACATAGCATATAAGTTAATAGCAAGTCTACTGAAATGTCAACTGACGCTGTAATGTCTGCCAAAGGTGTTTCTAATGGATTCAATAGATGCCATTGGCACAATATACCTACTTAAATTCCTCACTTTGACACAAAAATGACTGTTGACAAAAAAGAATAAACTATGCGCGTAAAAGAAAAAACAAAGGGCATGTATTCAAGGCACTGAAGTGACATTAATCCATATCAAATGTCCACACGCTGTGTAGTGTATTCAGGAGCCCAAACCATGAATTGAGCGCCGTTATGAGGGGTGACTTTGTCCATCAGCACACCCCCACTTCCTGACTGAACTGAAGTCTGTTACAGAGCTTTACCCTGGGGGCGATCTTATGATGCTGACTGCCAAGCAGAGCAGCTTGCTATGAAGTCATGGACAGTGAACCCCTATCCTGTTGTTCGCTTGGCACACAGTTTAAACAGCAAGCCGGTGACCCAATTTTGCATCTGAACATCATAAGTATTTAGTCATGGGATGTACTGTATTGAATCTTTTGTTCTGAGAGCGGCCTCTCAGGTGTAGGGGATAAAAAACTATTGTATGAAAGGAAAAATCCTCCCACAAATCAAACATTAAAACCGTCCTCTGACAATATATTTTGGAATTTTCTGGGTCTGTTTTGTTTGTTTGTTGAAGACAATATTGCATTACACTGAGGTGCTTTCAGTGCTGCGGCTGTGTCACTTTCTTTCTGATTTTCCACTGATTTTCAGATGCATGAAAACTAGTTTCGCTACCATCTATACCCTCAAAAGTCGGAATGCAATGCAGCTTTGAAACACATTGAGTTGAAAGTGTTTGGTGCCTTCTGGACATGGGAAAAAAGTCTCACAAAGTCTTACACTGTCAAAATGCGATTGCTATTAAGTTCACTACATCTGTTGTGTCAGAGCTGGATGTTCTCTGGCATTCTGGGGAATAGGAAGTCACTATCTGGACTAAAAACCAGCAAGTTATAGTGAGAGAAA